TGGCGATACCCATAGAGGTGGTGCGACAACATTCAGACGCGGAGAAGGCAGTGCGTGGGTGACATGCGCCTAAATGCGCCGATTTTGACTAGGTGCGTGACGACACATAAGAAGGAACTAGCTTCTGAGACCGACCGATAGGGTTGGCCGTCGCTCGGAGAGGCAATCCAAATCCGATGGTCACCGGACGAAACTGTGACGGTGGAGGGCAGTGGACAATGGCTCCAGAGATGACTGAGACAGGTAGAGCAGGATCAACCCACTCTGATACCAACTTAATGTTAAGAAATACGAAAATATAGTTTGGAGGACTTGATTACCCCTCTTAATCATCTTCTATTTATAATGAAAAATCTTATACAAGAGAGCATAGACACCTAGGTACAAAATTAGGTACAACAGTAGGACAACCAGTAGGTGTTTCCAACACACTACCCCCTATTTTGACTTAATGATTACACATAGATTTAATAACTATTCTAACAAAAGAGATAACATGAAAGTAGAAGAAATGACAATATTAAGAATATGTGGCCACACAAGAAAGGACAAGAAACAACTTGATTATACACAAGTTGTAGCACTAACAGAAAATCAAGAAAGGTAGTTTAGACACATTAGAGGAAAGACATAAGGAATAAGTGAAAAGATTATATTGCATGGTTTTCTATTTTTAAATCTTAAATTCACTTTAGATCACTATGGTTTTTTGAATGTGCAATTTCGCTTCGTATATAAATTTAATATCAGGTTTCGTCCTCCAATGATCCAAAATTAAGCAATTTTGGTCCACTCGTCATAAACAATCAATTACTTATTCACATAGAATATTTCCAGCAAGATTTAACAATTGTTATAACATTTTCTATTAGCAATTGAACGACATTAATAGTAGACAAAAAAAAGCATAATTTTGTAAAACTAAAGAACCAAATATGCAATTAAATTTTTTTTAGAGTCAAAAAATTTGCACATTCTCAAAATTGTGGAGATCAAAAGTGGATTTAAGCCTTCTCTATATTAGGTGAACTCTAACAAGTATTAAGAGTTCAATTTGAAAGTTAAATTTATGGAGACTTCGTGAGTTTATGCAAACTGAACAAATTCTAATGCCAATTACAAAATTTGAGATTTTATTCAATTGCTCAAAATGAAATATGTGCAATGAGTAACAATTTAGATATTACGTGAGTTACATTCCCTAAAAAACTTAACAACTCATCATAACTACATCTAATAGAATACACCTAAGCATAAAATAAAACAACCAACTACAACAAAGCTAGTAATGGAATAGGCCAAACCTATTGCTAATCTTGTTTTTAATAGCGATTGTTGAATACATATCTTATCTAGATCATAATTATATTAAAAGTTAATTTATTAGAGTCTTTTTGTATTTACTTAGGAATTTAAATAAATAGACCATTCTTATGTGTTTTGGAAGTGATTTAGTTTCAGCTAATTGAGGAAATTAAAGAATCTCACTTAAGACAGGGTAAAGGAGTTTTTATAATAAATACAAACATAGGCTGACCTAAACTTTGGTCTGGAGATAGATTCAGAATTCTCGGTGAAGACATCTCTCCAAGTTTTCATCACAGATCAATCTTCACCTATAAAAATTGTTCTCTAGTGGAAACATGAGGTCTTAGGCCTTGTTTGTTTACTGTTTTTAAAAATTAAATTGTTTTAGTTTTTAAAAACTAAAAAATTAAAAATGATAAAAAGTGTTTTCTGTTTTTGTAATGATATTCACATATACACCAATAGTTGCAGTGCAGTGTTCTCCATCATTACCATAAAGTTATCAAAACCTTTTTCAACTTTCGTTGGGACTATTTGTCATTGTCAATGTCATCCTCTTTCATCTAAAAGATTTTTCAAACTAGAGTTATCACACAAGTTTCGTTCTAACTTATTTTTAATAGTTTCTCAAATTTAATTTCTAAAACTATTTTTAAAAATTAAAAAAAACATAACTAAATCGACCAAACCCTGATTTTCCTCTTTGTGAGTTGGATGTAATAATACCCAAATTCATGTAAACATTATACAAATAGAAACAAGTACCCAAGTGAAAGGTTGCAGTTGAAAACGAACGGAAACATTGGTGAAGGAGACTTGGCAGCTTCTGAGATCACTAGAAGTGAAAAAATTAGTTTGATGGAAGTGGACATTTTCAGTCAAATACAATGTTTATGGGAGTGTCAACAGGTACAAGGTTTGCTTGGTGGCAAGGGAGTTCAATCAATCTTATGGGGTGGACTATGAAGAAAGATGGCAAAACAAAATTCAATTCAGATCCTTCTCTCCTTGGTAATAAATTTATATTTACATCAACTAAATAGCAAGGATGTTTTCTTGAATGATGAGTCATTGAGATGTTGTCTCTCAGGAACAATGTTATGATACGGACTTGGGTATTGCAGAATGGTAAGTCCCACCACCAGAATGTTTAGTTGAGTATTTAAGTGTTTGGGTCTCTCCCCTTAAAGGTTAGCTTTTAAGGGAGAGTTCCCCAAGTGCTCGGATGCATATCAACTAGTATCAAAATTGATTGTTTGTATCTTGAAAAATACTCCAAGGAGGGTTGTAACAAATGAAAGGTTCTAACCAACGAATAAATTGAGTGAATTGTCATAGAGTTTATATCACCAAGACATTAGGCTCTCGAGGGTGGTACTATGATAGGGATTTGGGTAAAATGACAAATGACTTGGGGTTTGTTTGTTTTCTAAAAACCAAGGAACTTGTTTAATAACTATTTTGTTAAAACAATTTTTTGTTTTTTAGTTTTTAAAACTAAAAAAAATGAAAATTGATCAAATGTGTTTTTTGTTTTTAATTTTCTGTTTTCCTAAATGGTATTTGTTGAAATAAAAGAGCCATAGGATTATCTCTTTATTTATAAGAAAAATACAAAGATTAAAGAAATAAATAAGTAATGAGGGCTTAACCCGTTACATCTAACACTCCCCCTCAAGCTGGTACATATAAATCGTATACTCCAAACTTGTTACAATTATAATCAATGCTAGGTCTCCCTAATGATTTGGTAAACATATCTACTAGTTGATTATTAGTTTTTATATACAATCTTTTCTTAAATAAAATGACAATCAATCTCAATTTGGTCTTTTCATAAAAGACAGGATTTGAGCTAATATGAAGAGCGGCTTGATTATCACATATAAGTTTCATTTGAGTGACTTCTCTAAATTACAACTTTGTGAGTAATTGTTTAAGCCAAATGAGCTCACAAATAGTTGAAGTCATAGACCTTACTACACCATATCCAAAAGTGGATCTCCTATCAGATGGAGAGTCTGCCCAATTCGCATTTGAATAACATATAACCTTAGTATGATAATTGTGTCCATATAATAAACATTTTCCAGAAAAAATTTTAACATACTTCATTAGATGACAGTATTCTATGATTTGCACATGAAAAATTAAGAAATTGTCTCACCACACTAACCACAAAAGAAAAGTCTAGACGAGTAATGGTAAGATAACTCAACTTCCCAACTAATCTTTTATACTTCTTGGGATTTGAGAGTGGCTCCCCTTGATTAGGTAGGAGTTTAGCATTGAGGTCCATGGGTGTGTCAGCAGATGCTTGTTTCAAGTTAGTCTAAGTTATCAAGTTTGTCTTGTAAGTCATCTTAATTAGGAAAACACAGCCGTAGTTTTTTCCCTAAAAGTGTCTCACAACGTGCTTTGCTTCCTTTTGTCTTAATTCTTTTTGACATGTGGGAACCCAGTAATGTTAAGATTTCAATATTTTATTACTTTTCATTAATGATTATTCAAAATGTACTTGGTTATTTTTAAACAAAAATCGTTTAAAGTTATTTTCTATATTTCAACCTTCTACAATGAAATTAAAAATCAATTTAGAGTTTCTATTTGAACCATGCACAGTGATAATGTTCGTGAGTATCTTCTCGGTCTTTTCAAAATTATATGGTTTCCCATGGCATTCTTCATCAAACCTTATGTTCATATACACCTCAACAAAATGGGATAGTTGAGCACAAGAATAGACATCTCATTAAAACCATTTGCATAGTTTTAATCCATGGTGAGGTTCCTCAACATTTTTGGAGTGATGTTGTCCTTAAATTAATTGCATGTCATCTTCAATTTTAGATAACAAAATTCCTCATTCTATTGTATTTCCTCATGAACCTCTTCATCCCTTACCACTTGAGCTATTTGGGTCCACATGTTTAACCATGGTCCTAATCTTAATAAATTATCTACTAGGTCGAACAAATGTGTCTTTCTAGGGTTCACTAGATAACAACAGAGGTATAAATGTTTCTCTCCTTCTCTTAACCGTTATTTCATTTTAGCTGATGTCAATTTCGCCGAGTCTTGCCTCTACTTTATGTTTAATCCTTCTTATATTGCATCTTCATCTGATGTGGGCCTAAGTCTATTACATTTAACAATATTTGCGCCTCCACTAGTAATTGCACTACATTGTTTGCCTTCATCATTATGATTTTTGACATTGTCCTTGAACTTTCATTGTAACTCTTCATCCTTGTCAGTCATCTTCGTTTAAAACAATTTTCATACTGGAGTTAACAAACAAGTTTTTATTCAATTTATTCTCAAAAACAACTTTTAAAAATTCATTATTGAAATTGTCTTTAAAAACTAAAAAACAAAACTATATCAAAAACCTTACTCCCACCTCAAATAGTATGGGATCCTTCACAAAGTATGAGTATTTGATTCTCCCCCCTTGACAACTAGGCATCCCATACTATAACGAGTTATGACCATTTGTACGACTGCCTATAATGAGTTATGACAATTTGTACGACTGCAAAGTAAAAAAGGAAAGTAATGCGGAAGCATGCACAAAGAAAAAAAATCAGGTTATTGTATTTTTGTGATAAAAAGGATAAAGTATATAGAAAATAAAGGTGTGCATCCACGTAGCAAGGCAGCATAAGATTTTTAAAATTAGGAGGTAGAACTCACTCGAGAATATAAACAGGCTCATGCATAAACCGTTTTAGTCCTGCTTCAAAAACATTCTGAGCCATCTGCATGATAATCCGATAAAGCAATAATATTTATTGTTACTTAACAAAATAGAGAAGGAAATATTTAATTTCTCCGATTCCTTTTAGATGATGCAGCAACTGATTTATAGACAAAAGTATCTACATGCGGCAACCAAGTCTGCCGCGATCAGGAAAAAAAAAATCAAGACCAATTAATAGCCTATTGATCTACAATCTTATCATAATTCAAATATTACTTAAATCTCATCCTGAATAGATGTATTGCAAAATCAATTCAAGACATAATTAGGAAACAATTTAAAGAATATTCAGGACAAACTTGCATCATTATTCACAAAGTATCGAGCCATATTATTAACTAGAAGAAAAAATTTAAAACACAAAACTCAAAAGATATCAATGTTATTTTGTTAATAACAACAAAAGGTTTAAGTTATTTAAATTCAAGCATACCTACAATCGCTTACACTTCCATATATGTAGATCAACATAGTCAACCATCCAAACACCAAAAACATTTCCCAGTGTACATCCAGCAGCATTATTATTACCAAACATGATTGAATGAGAATAAATAATCCCACTAGCTGACTAAAATACATACTTCCACAAAAATAGAAAGAGAATAGTACGAACCTTTGGATCCTTGTCAAGACAAAATGCCATTGTAGCATAAGCAACATAAACATGATAAGTACAGCTAGGGGATTTGCGAGCATCCAGAAAGTACTTCCTAGCAGCTTCAACACCTTCAGTTCTTCTTAGAAAGCGAACGAACTGTAACATGAAAAAGATGACACATTTTTGAAAGAAATCTATCAAAAAAGATGAAAATGAACTGTACAAATTGATTAACATATATATCCATGTAAAAAGTGTCCAACACTACTATTGAGAACTAAAAGAATAAGCAAACTATTTCATGTACTTGAATATGAGCTAGTGTCGTAGCATTGACACCATCTCCCAAAAGGCTTTCATATATTTTCTTTGCAGCCTGACATAAAACAAAAATAAAAAAGGAATAAATTGAGTTAAAGATTTAAAAACCATAAAAAACAAGAAACATTGAAGCATGTACTTGAGAACCACAAAATATTTCGCAAAGGTTCTGTGAATTGGCTTAGTGAGGGTACTCATCCTTGACATTTAAATACATGAAATGTAAAATAATAAATAAGTACATTTTACATTTACAAGAGCAATACAAAGAATTAAACTGTGTACAATGAAACTTAGTCTTTTCAATGATGCAATAACTCCAATAATACTCTATGACATTAACCACTGTACGTTTTGCAACAAATTTGCCCAACCCGCCACACCTGAATTGCTCCACGAGACTCCTCTAGCTCCGCATAAGCATACCGTAGCATTTCTGAATCTGTTCGCAAGTTAAATGATAGAACAACGAGACGAGAGATAAAAATAAGCATAAAAGAGTCAAGTAAAGGATGTTAATGCATTACAAGCTACCCAAACGAAACATAAGCCTTAACTAAGATAATGTCTACACCAGAGATCAAGATACGTTAACACAAGAAGTGTTCAGAATCAAAGGATATGTAAAAAGATCTGAATGTCATACACTAGGTAAACATGAAATTTCATACTATACATGACAACTTTCTTTATCATAAGTGTATCACGACTTAGAAATACTCTTTTCCAATAGAAAAAAAAAAAAAAAAAAAAAAGAATGTTCTGAACACACAGAAAATGCAGTCGCTAACAGGAACATCTGAAAATTCAGCAGAGCTATAGAAAAGACCACAAACCAGGGAGAGCCTTCAGAGCCCTTTGAAATACTTTGATCGCAGCATCTATCGAACCACCTTTTGCATGCCATGTAGCATAGTCATACCATATATCAGGATAATGGTACATGTACATCAGACACTGAACAAAAGAACAATGATGTAAGATATTCCATAAAATATAGAAAAAATATACATTAAACACATGGTTAAAGATGTTCATTGTTTGATTTATGTCCACGTTTAATAAACAAGAGAAATATGTTTCGGGGTCTATTTGGGGAAACTTCTCCATGTGCATTTGTAAGAGAGAAAATAAGAAGAAATATTTAAATTCAGTTTTTACACAAGTTAAAATTAAATGCATAAATGAAACTGTAGAAGATATTTCAGATCAGCTTCTCCAAAATCTTATTCTTTAACTCATGCATGAACAAATTTTAATTAATAGAAAAATTGATTTTAGGGATGAGCTTACTAATACCAACACAACAATCCTTAATGGTTTTCTTCACTAACCTAGCACATAATATGACAAGCCAATGTCATTTTAAAACAAACTAGGCTTTTCTCCACATTAATGAAAATATATAATATTAAAGGTGTTAGAGATTCCATATCAACTAAAGATATGGTCAAATTATGGTATAAGTGGGGTGTAAACTTCATCTTGAGCAATGCCCAAACCCACTTTCTAATAAAAGGGATAAAAAATTAAAAATAAAAACAGTAAAATAGATTTCCAAGTACCTGTTCATAAGTAAATATAATTCGTTTGTTGGAGGAGGCAGTATCTATTCTCTGTGGATTTCCTCTGAAATAAAAATCATGATAAGTTAGATAGAAAATGCTAACTAAACATCAGAACAAGGTAAGGATATAAAGATATGATGAATAGAGGCACTGCATCCATGTTACATACATTTCAAAATCATAAGTTGGGCCAAAGATACCCCCCTCCCCCCTTTCCAAGAAGGTTATCCTAAATGGAGTCTCAGGAATGGTTTTACATCTTTATTCTATAACAAGTACGTTTAGAACTTTTGAATAAGAAAAGATCTAGTTTGGTCTAATAACTACCAATTTTTTTCTTTTTGCAATCTCATTTTGTTGTGATGTGTTAACATATAAAGGCCCATGGATTATTGCTTCCCTTTTGTAAAAAGTTTAGCACAAGATTAAAGTAGTCTCCGGCATTATCAAACCTAATTTTCTTGATACTGACTCAAAGATGTTTCTTAATCATTGAGACAAACTAGAGAAACTAACCTCTGATTTTTGTTTCAATAAGAAACCCAAGTTACTTATGTAAAATCATTTATAAAGGCTATTAATCATTTAGCACCTTAGATATTAAGGACATTATCAGGCCCCGCACATCAGTGTGAACAAGAATAAAAGGAATGGACTCACCTTATTGCTAATGGGAAATTATTAGCACCTAACAGCAGAGACTCTCCACATTTAAATTCTTAAACAAGGGAAAATCATTTTTACAACTAGAAGTGAAGGTCATCCCAACCACCAATGGTATAGTTGAGTTTTCCTTTTCCTGGTCATAGTGGTTTCAGTCATGATAGAGTGGCTATTGCTAGGCTGATTAAAGTCCTCCATATATTACGGGTCATTTCATTCTCTAGCATGTCTAATTGTCCTCCCCAAGTTCTTGTCTAGCAATATACAAGAATTGTTATGAAAAACAACGTTAAATTAAGAGATCTTTTGTGAGGTTTTCAACAGAAATCAAATTGTTGGACAATTTAAGGACATAAGCACATTTTTTAATGTTATGGGTGGGCTTCTTTGGATCTCTCCTTGTTCTATTGCAGTTATAAAGGTTCTATCTAATGTGAAAAAAAATTTGTTACTAGGATACGGAGAATATGTAGAAAAGTATTTGAGTAGTGGGGTCATATGGTTAGCAACAAGAAAATTTCCACAGCTGATGGAAACATGATAACTATAGTTGGTCAAGCAGATGTCCAAATAAACTCAACCATAACTCTAAAAAATGTTCTACATGTGCCTAAATTGTCTACAAACCTGATATGTATACAAAAACTTACCAAGAATCTCTCATGTAATGTGGTCTTTTGTAGCAACTCTAGTATACTGCAGGACAAGAAATCGGGAAGGACAATTGGGCATACTAGAGAATCGAATGGCCTTTACTACATGGAAGATATGAATCAACTCTTTAAGAGTCAATCTTTGATAACGGAATCCTCCATTCCCAACATGGAAAAAATTCAGTTGTTTCATTGTCATGTAGGACATCCTCATTTCGTTTTATAGAGCTATTGTTTCCTTTCTTGTTCAAAAATTTAAATCTACAACGTCCTCATTATGAGATATGTGAGTTGGCAAAACATAAATGTGTACCTTTTCCTATGAGTAATAAAATCAATACTTCTCCTTTTTATCTTGTTCATACAAATGTGTGGGGTCCCTCTAATGTTCATAATATCTTAGGGACTAAATGGTTTCTCACCATTATTGATGATTGTACAAGAGTAACATGGCTTTATCTTCTTAATAACAAATTTGAGGTCAGGTTTGTGTCACTGATAAAAAATCAATTTGGGGTTTGTTGGAATATATTAGAAAATATATGTAATCATTATACCTAAGGTAGGAGGTTGAGTGTTAGATAATCTCTGCAAGGGGTTGAGTGTTAGATAATCTCTGCACCTAGTTCTGAGGAGTAATCTAGGACTGTGCATTTAATGTAATCTCCCTGTTTTATCAGTTTTTATCTATATAAATACAGAACTATGAGAGGGGTTCTTTAAGCCCTCTAGAAACACTTTTTCTCTGTTTATGAATATCAAGTTGGTATCAGAGCGGGTCGATCCCGCTCTGCCTGTTTCTGTAGTCTCCGGCACTGTTTTTGCCGCCGTCCGCCGCCGGCCACCGTCTCCCGCCGGCCACCGTCTTCGGTCGTCCAATTTTCGCCGGCAACCACCGGATCTGAATCGTCTCGCCGTGCGACAGCCAACCCCGTCGGTCCCGAAAGCTCGTTCGCCGCCACGCGCCGCCTCTTTCTCCGCTGCATCTGGCGCGTGTCATCCACGCGCCGCCTTCTCCGCGTCAGAACATTGTCGCGCTACCTCTGTTAGGGTCGTCGGAGCTTCCTCTCCCTGCTCTGACCCTCAGAACTTCATTTCGGTGAAGTCCAGTAGTCACCCTTGCGAAAATCACTCTTGGGCTTTCGGACTTCCTTACTGTTTTCGCCCCCCTCACTGGTCTTTGTCCTCTTGATCAGAAATGGCTGCAATTTCATTCTCTAGAAGTCCCTCCATTACTTCCGAAAAACTAAATGGACAAAATTATCTATCTTGGTCTACTACCGTCGAAATGTGGTTTCTCGGTCAGGGGCATCACGACCACCTTGAAAAAGACGGAAGCCATGTGCCGGAAGAAAAAGCTGAACAATGGAAACAGGCAGATTTTCAGCTATGTGCTCTATTGTGACAATCAATGGAACCAAGACTTTTGATGTCGCTTAGGGCCTTCAAAACTTGTCACTCCTTTTGGAAGAAAGCTCAAACCATTTATGCCAATGATATCCAACGTCTCTACGATTCCGCAAATAAGCTGGCATCTCTAAAAATGATAGATCATGATATGGTGTCCTTTATGAATGACGCCCAGTCGGCTGTGGAAGAACTAAAGATGTTCTAGGAAATCGATTCCTTGGATGAAATGAAAAAGAAGCTTGACAAGTATTACATGGTGATGATCCTTCGCACAATACATCCTGACTTTAACCATATCAGAGATCAACTTCTGACCACTTATGAAGTCCCTTCCATGGATACCCTTATCACACGTCTGATTCGTGTACCAATGTCTGAGACTCAGGAAGCTCTTGCTCTAGTAGAACCATCTGCCATGGTTGCCACACGAGGAAGAGGAGGACGTGGCACCAGAGGAGGAGGATGTGGAGGTCGAGGACGTCCCCAATGCACCTACTGTAAGAGGATGGGTCATACACAGGAGAACTGCTACTCCTTGCATGGTTTTCCTCCCAAAACCGCCAATGTCTCGAAGGCTGAAACCGTCAATTCCAAGTTCACTGAGGAGGAATACCAAGAGTATCTACGGTTGAAGTCTAATAGCTTGGCACAAACCTCTCAAACTGCTAGCACATCAACTGCTTGCATTTCTCAATCTGTGGAGGGTCAAAATTCATGGGTAATTGACTCTGGTGCTTCTGATCATATATCTGGTAATACCTCCTTGTTCTCAACCATTTCCTTTCAAGAAAAACAACATTTCATAACCCTGGCAGATGGCTCTAAAGCTTCCTCAAAGGGAGTGGGCCAAGTTTCCTTATCTCCCTCCATAAGCCTAAAATCTGTCCTTTTTATTCCTAATTGTCCTTTCAATTTAATTTCCTTAAGTCAGTTAACCAAAACCTTAAATTGTTCAATAACCTGATAACAAATCTTTTGTTATACAGGAGCGTGGTTCGGGGAGACGGATTGGAGAAGGATATGAAGCTGGAGGATTATACCTTTTTGGCCCTCGTCCACGTGTGTCCTGTGTTGATACTCCGAGCCCTAAAATGTTACATGATCGGCTTGGCCATCCTCATTTGTCAAAATTAAAAAGAATGTGTCCTGAACTTAGTGGTCTCCAGACCTTAGAATGTAAGTCATATCAACTAGGGAAACATGTTAGATCTACCTTTCCTAAAAGGTCTCAATCAAAGTGTACTTCCAGTTTCTCTATTATCCATTCTGATATTTTGGGACCCAGTCGCATCTCATCTTTTGGTTTTCGGTATTTTCTTACATTCATTAATGAATATTCACGATGTACTTGGGTTTATCTTATGAAAGATTGCTCTGAATTGTTACTCATCTTTACATCCTTTTTGAATGAAATCAAGAATCAATTTAGTCAAGTAATCAAAATTTTAAGAAGTGACAATGCTAAAGAGTACTTCTCATCCACCTTTTCTGCTGTTTTGAGTTCACATGGAATATTGCATCAGTCCACCTGTCCTCATACACCACAGCAAAATGGTATAGCAGAAAGAAAAAATAGACATTTGGTTGAAACTGCATGTACTCTTTTGCTGGGTGCTCATATTCATGTCCATCACTGGGGGATGCCATCTTA